ATCAATGCAAGTCACACCTTTGATTTTTCTTAAACCTCGCATTCGCCTCGGTAGACTATAATACTTTTTGGTTATAACTGATCTGTTCAACTTTGCAAATACACAAAATTTATTTATCTATTACCCGATACTAATTTTCCAAAAATACACAACCTTTTGGATGCAAAATTAAAAACACTGTTTCAGCTCTTGAATTTTGTTTTTTTGTAAAGAAAGAAAAATTTTGAAATAATTTGATAAACTGGTGTTTTACAGTTTTAAAAATAATTCTGTTATATGTTGTAGTGAAAAATGATAAGCAAAATGAAAGTAAATGGATGTGAAAAGGTCATGGCTACTTCTACATTTGCTCTGTCATAAATGGAAAAAAATCAGAAGGTTCAAGATTAACGCTATATTGTAATGGCAGCGCTTTATATAAATAGTCAAATTTGTCGTTTTGACATCCTTAGCAGCATATGCTTGTGATTAAATTGTTTTTGTAGCATTCTAATGAATATATATCAGAAAAATATCCTTTTTTCCTCGTGGTTAAATTAATGATATTTTTAGGCTTGATCTTTGACCCCAATTTCACAAAAATGTGGCAACTCTTGGATTATACGACCAAACTTTTCTTATTGTACACATTTTCCTCTTTCCATCGATATATAATTTAGGTGTGTGTTCTTCCGGTACATTAAAGTTTTAAAAAATGAACTCTGGTTGCAGTACTACTAGTCCTTTGTCTCATATCTTGACTTAGATCTAAACATTGACAACTATTAACTATTATTTACATCAAGCTATTTCCTTCATTTAGATCATGTCATAACCATAATTTAGATCATGCTATAACCAGACTTCATCCTCTGATATGAACAATCCATCAGCTAAGCATGAAATACAGATGCATCATACCGAATTATTTAATGGAAAACATATGCTACAGGAAAAACAACTTGCTTTGTTACGATAATTTATATATTGCCATTTGTTTTACTTGTTTTCTTGTTGCTCTTTTTGCGTTTTACTTTCAGCTCATGTTATCCAATCCTTAGTTTTGTAAGCATTTGAATAACGTTCATAATATTGTCCCTATCCTCATTGCATACGTATTATTTCTCGACAGGAGTTGCCACATTGTATGTAGATTTTTCGTCAGCCCGTTGTCTGCAATTTTAAGTATTTTGAAACAACATTATAGCAAATTTGATCTAGTACTTATGAATTCACGACCAAAATGTGCAATTCAGTTGTTTTAACTCTTTTTTGAACGTGGGGCTATATTACAATAACCTTAATTTTGAATCACACTTTCCTCATGAACTATTCAACAGAATGACTCATAAGCAAATTATCAGCTTGAAAGTGATGTAATAGAACGCTTAAAATACTTTCGGATCTGTCGGAAACCCAATCCTGCTTTCCGATACTTTGAATAACGAGTGGGTTCTAGCTTTGGAGGACAAAACATGTAACTTCTTCGTGTTCTCTCATATTATCAGATAGAATAGTAAATTAACGATTATTTTCGAATTTTGACTGAGGCATATCAACAGACTTATATGGGCGGTAACAAATCTAAATGGCATGGACTTTGCAATGTTTTAAATAGGTATATACTACTTTGCATTTACTAATTGTCATACGATGTCAAAGAAATATTCAGTAGCAAAGGAGGGGCTAAAGATACCTAACTCATTAGTCGAAAATAAACTGACAACGCCATGGCTAAAAAGTAAAAGACAGATTGATAATTTAGTCGTAGATGCATGAATTTTTTTTATTAGTTGTTATTGGCTTTGAACTAGCTGTCAGTAACTGCGAGTACTCTCAGATCTGTACTTAGTGTCTTTTTGTTGTTGGGATGTACAAGTACCCTCCCACGTCCACTCAGTGTTTTTGGTTATATGTATTTTTTATTTGTATCCATCTGATGAGTTAAGCCTTTTTTCAACTGATTTTTGTAGTCTGTTCGTATGTTGTACTGTTACACCACTGTCCCAGGTTATGGGAGGGTTGGGCGCCCGTTAACATGTTTAACCCAGATGTGCCTGTCCAAAGTCAGGAGCCTGTACATCAGTTGTTGTCGTTTGTTGCTGTGTTACATATATGTTTTTCGTTCATTATTTTGTACATAAATTAGGCCGTTAGTTTCTCGTTTGAATTGTTTTACATTTGTCATTTCGGGGCCTTTTATAGCTGACTATGTGGTATGGCCTTTGCTTATTGATGAAGGCCGTACGGTGACCTATAGTTGTTAATTCCTGTGTCATTTGGTCTCTTGTGAAGAGCTTTTCATTGGCAATCATACCACATCTTCTTTTTTATATAAACAGTACACAAAACACAACATAGAAAACTAAAGACTTAGCAACAAGAACCCCACTAAACACTAGGAGTAATCTCAGGTGTTCCAGAAGGGTGAGCAGATCCTGCTCCACATGTGGCACCCGTCGTGTTGCCCATGTAAGTGCAAACCCGATGATAAGTCTAATTCGGTATGTCTCATTCGGGAAAAAGGGACAGGACTACAGTTACGATATTTGGAACATATCCGTTGTCTTCTGTGAAACAGATATTCCATAATGATCAACCAACTCGTGATAGCGTCTGTAAAATTTACCAAGGGATGATTTCATCTTCACCACTTGGGACAATTGGTTTGATAGCTTTCTTGTGAGCAGCAATCCTCTATCAAGGAAATCATGATAGGAAATACAAGCCATGGAATATCGTATCAACTGTGAGATAAATACGCCGTATGCAGGCGCCGCTGGAATGTTGATACAAAGAAATGGAAAGTTCACAATTGGGAAGCTGAAATCATCTCTTTTGTTCTAAAGTTTTGTTTTCAACCGACCTTCATTGTCAATATCTAGATGTAAGTCAAGATATGAGGCAGACTGAACTGTATCTGTTGTATCCTTTATCTCAAGTTCAATGGGGTAGATGCGTTCAACATAGTCATCACATTTTGAATTATTCAGTGAGAAAACATCATCTATATAGCGGAAAGTGAAGTTAAAGGATACTGCTAACTTCTTTCCATTCTTCCTTAGAAGTTTCTATATGAAGTCAGCCTCATCTGAATAAGGGAACAAGTCGGCAAGAAGAGGTCATGGTAAAATTCATAAAAGTAACTTTCATAATGATAGATCGAGGATTGTGGACTTACATGAATTAGAAATTTAGTTAAAATGTCATTAGAAATATGAGAAAAAATAAAAGGCAATGGTAGTTTACTGATGGCCATATTTCGTAAATCTATTTGAATATACAAACGAAATGACTACAACTATGGGAATCAAATGAACAAATTGACAAAGTCCTGGTGTGTCGACGGATAAACACTTCTGATAAATGCATGCATCAACTATGCTGTCAATCCAACTTATTTCAAATTTCAAATATAATGATAAGTAATAAGACACCATTGACATATTTACAGATCAGACGGCTATCCTGGTATTTTAATATCAAGGGTCGGGAAGACAGGGAACAAGTCAGTAGACACAAACACATAGTTTTGATGAACAAAGTCATGCTGATGACTTGAGATACTGACATAAGTTGCATGTAGGAAACATTCGATAAAGATTATTTACACTCCTATAAATGACTGTTTATCTATTGTTTTTTGTATTAGAATTAAGTGTTGGCACCATAAAATTTTACATATATTTCGATATAAGTTTTTTTTGTACAATATATTTTAAAGTAAAACAGTTTAGAAGTAGATACGGACTGAAATACGAAGCGTTGTACTGACGTAAATATGAAACTTCTAAAAAAGGGAACAGTAGTATACCGCTATTCGAAACTCATAAATCGATAGAGATAAAAACAAATCCGGGTTACAAACTAAAACTGAGGGAAACGCATCAAACTGAATAATGATAAAATGATAAAATCGGGAAAATCTGGGTTCCAGTTAACGCAAAGGCATATACAGACTTAGTTTGTTCGTAACCAATGCGCATACACAAATTTGTGCATTAACTGTTCACAACTGGTAAATAAATATGACTTTCTGTCAATTGTGCTATATTAAAAAACAAACAGGTGAAAGACAAAACTCATTAGTAGAAAAAAAATGACAACACCAAGGGTAAAAAACAAAAGACTACAAAAAGACAACAAAAAATGTAACACAATTAAAGAATGAGCATCACAAACTACACAAAAAATATGGGATAGTCAGGTTTTGACATACATTATTGATTTTAACAATTGATTAACTGAATAATTGATAAATAATTCTTGGATTAACATTCATTGGTAAATGTTAATGGCAAGTTCATCACGGGAGGTCGATCTGCGAATTTTCCGCAATATAATTAGAAGTGACATAAGGCCTCCCAAACAATTATCAAAAAAAAGAAAAGTAAAAATACCTATGCAACTATAAAGTTTTGAGTTATTACTTCATACTTTATTAGATTCTTGTTAAATCAATTAATCTTTTTTTTCAAGATTCAAACAAATGTTTCAGTGAAATTCGGCTGCCCAGTACAAGATATAAACTCATTATGTAGACCTATACAGATGGAAAAGAGGGGCGAAAAAAGAGGGACACGCAAACTCATAAGTCGAAAATAAACTGACAACGCCATTGCTAAAAAAGAAAAAGACAAACTGACAAAAAATAGTACACAAAACACAACATAAAAAACCAAAGACAAAGCCACACAAACCCCATCAACAACTGGGGTGATATCAGGTGCTCCGGAAGTGTAAGTAGATCCTGCTCCACATGTGGCACCTGTCGTGTTGCTCATGTTAGTTCAAACCCGGTTACAAGTCTAATTACGTAGGTCACTTTCATGAAAAGGGGACGGATACACTTTTTGAAAAGGTTTGTGAAGTTTCGTGTTTTAAATCAATTTGTTATTTGATGTCTTGCATTTCTATAAATGATAAACGCTTTTGTTCATTTGTTGTGCAGTTATTTATGTACCTATATATTTCAACAAGGGCAAATTTGCAAGTTTTTTTTTTGGATTAATGATAGTATATAAAATTCATATTGATTTTATTGATAAGACTATAATGTTATATGTATATCTGTAGTCTACTAAAAAATCCTGTCTGCTTTTTCCTTAAGGGTCTATGAAGTATCAAATATACGTCACCATTTAAGAACAGTGAAATATGATATCTTTGATTTTGAGGATTGGCAGTTAGCAAAATCAATGAACATTACATCATACTAAAAAAGAAGGCATTTACGTAAAAAAATGTTTGTTTTTATTCTTGATTTTTTTGTCAGAAATATGATGCTGTCAGTTAATGTTAGACATATAAGACATTACATTTCATGTGTGTTTAAAAAATATTAAGCTTTGCTGTACGCAGTTAAAAAAGTAATGTCAGTCTGAATTTATGAATAAGAATGTGTAAATAAATAAATAAAAAGTGGATAAAAAATAAAATAATAAATATATTAAATGATAAAATTACGAATTTATCCATATAAAATAAAGAACGCTACAAGGTCTAAATTAATTACTTCCTGTATATTTATAGAGAAGATCTAATAAAATATGTTTTTTTTTATATTTTTGTTTTATTTAGAAACAAAGATAAACTTCGAATTCTGTTTAAATCTTCTCTTATGAAATATTCTTAAATTGTTTTAATTAAATCACAATTTTACTATAAAAAAAAACTATATTTTCTTTTGAAGATGCCGTTTTCAAAAATGATGAAGTTGATTATTTATTCAAGCTGCCGCAATTTTTTTGATAATTATTTTTTTCTAATTCTTACACGATTTATCCTTTCCTGACCTGTTGATTATTTTATCAACGTGTGGTTTGTTTGATCTCAGTTCTTCATTGGTCAAAATTCGTTTATGACGTCAAATTTTCTTGCATTCCTCTGATTTTCCTATTGTGACGTCATGAAAAAAGGCGACCATGCCTGATGACGTCACATAGAAAGAATACATCTTTTTGCAAATCATTTGAAAGGAAGTATTTAGTCTGCATATCGATTAAAAATCATTAGAAAAACAGATTCCACCACCAAATCTTGTGTAATACGATATTTATCAACTCTCGACAGTTAAATTTTAAATATCCAAAACGCTCGGCGAGGCTAGTGTTTTGAATTTGAAAATTTAACTGTCTGGAGTTGATAAATATCGTATCACACTCGATACAGTGGTAGAATCTATATATATTACATACTACAGCTTCAATTTTGGTCAAAGATATGAATTATGAACAGAACATACAGGAATAAGTACGATCAGAGTAATATCCTAAAATTGCGATATTAGTAAAATATAGTCTGGAAAATGTTTCATTGTAAATGATAAATGAATAGGACAATATTATTCGGCCACATTACTACAGACATGTTTGTTATGATGTCGTTAAATGTAAAAATTGACATTAAAAGATTATATTGCACAAATTATTACAAAAATAAGATTTGATCTTAAGCCTTATAAAAACGATAATTTACCTCAATCATATTTTTTTTATACAAATTTGTAGCAAAAACATGATTGTCACTTAAAATCATTGACCATTGACTTAAAATATATGTCCATAACTCTTATTGTATGAAAACATAAATAATTTTACCTGTTTCGTTGGAAAATTGATCATAATAATATTTGGATATAGACATGATAAAGGAAACCTTCCTTGTCTGAAATATGATGAATATTGTAATTCAAAGAGGAAAATTCCAAATTGACAATAAAAATTACTATTATAGTTTTTGTCATTGTAGTGTCACTCCACGTGTTCAGTTTTTTCCATTTGTTGAAAATAACATTTTATAAGGGCTTTTAGAATTTCTCATTATTGATGTCAATGTCTCCGCCAGTCGTTTGTGATATTTTGTAGACATACTTCTAAATTGCTCCCTTAATTTCACGATAATATCAATGTAACAGTCATAAGATTATTTAAATACATCTTCATAAGGCAAGATCTCATTTAACAGTTATACCTATAGTTATGAATATATCAATAAATAAACGTCATTCTACATGATCTAAGCTATAAATGTCGGATAAAGTCTCGAATCAATAGTCAACAGAACAAACCATATCGATGAACGATTTCTGAGAAAGTAGTTTGTCTGTTGCTTTGTCTCTAGGATTTTCCTTCCTAAGGGATACTATTTTATCTCTTAGACGTCGGATTTGGGATTCGATTTCATTTCTTATCTTATCTGTTGTCTTTTGAACTTCCTTTTCAGACTTCTCAAATATTTCGCTGCTGTAATATTCGTTAACTTTTTGTAAGCGAATCTGTTTAATAAGTCTTGTTAAACGCTTTACTTGCACAAATTTGTTTTTTTGTTCAGAAGATGTATTAAAAACTAAGTAGCGATATTGACATTGTTTAAGTAAAGGCAACGTGCTTTCGACAATATCCTCTACCATTTCTACAGGGTAGTTGGTATCATTTCTCTTGATTGTGAAAACCACAACTAAAAACTGTACAATATTAGGTCCGAAATATTTAATGTAAGGATCCATTGTTGACATCAAGTCAGTATGGCTAAATGACTCTGTAAAGAGAACAAACGCATGTGGCCCTGGAGACGTGCGTGCGATACAGTCTGCTATTATCTTCTTGTCTTTTTCATTTGATATTTCTTTGCAGAAACTAGGGAGTTCGTAAAACTTGTATGTTTCTCCATATAGAAGTTTTGTCGATCTGTAAAACTCTGTCCTACTTTGTGCGTTCCCCATTACAGCAATGCGGTATTCCTCTACATCTAGCGAAAAAATATGTTAAATACTTTTAAAAACAATAAAATTGAGAATGATAATGGGGAATGTGTCAAAAAGACAACAACCCGACCAAAGGACAGAAATAGCCGAAGGCCACCAATGGGTCTTCAACATAGCGAGAAAAAGCATACAATCAAACCATATTTATATTTTGGAAATGTGTGGCAATTAATTACAAAAATAAAGCAAAAAAATAAAGCTCGGAAAAAAAGATGGTCAATATTCTCCGACACTTGGTTTTTTTAATTAACTCATTGGAAAAAGTCTTTATAGTAGTAGGACAAACAAGAAAAAAAAAACAATCAACATCGATCAAAAATAAGTTTATGTCCTTGTTATCAGAAATTAAATTTCACGTATTTTCTATTAAAGTCATATATTACAGTCAGTTCAAATTTAGCTTTGAATTTTGCAAATATACGTTATGGTATAATGGCATTATGATGAGATATGATAACATTTACTACACTTTATAGAACGTCTGATAAACTTTAGTTGTCATTTCACCCACTACAATTTAGAACATATGTAAACGTAGCCCGTCAATGAAAAAAAAATAGTGCTTTTGATGTCATTGATTACTTAAACTAACAGACAAATTTGCAAAAAAAAAAGATTTTGGTGATAGAGAATTATATGTTAGCCATTTTGAGTCTAAATTTTCTTGATATTCATTTCGCATTAACAATCAAGGATTGATGCGCTCCATAGTAAACATATCTAATATTTCCAGAAAAGCAGGAGTTATAGTTGTAGCAGTTGACCTCTGAAAAATTATGAGACACTACAAGACTTTAAACAATGGTTGATAATTGGCATAAAGAAAGATTATACATGTACAATTACAATACATGCAGGGTTTCTATGAAGTTAAACTTAAAATAAAATCTCTAAAAGCTATGAAAATTTGGTTGATAATATAGGGGTTTTGAACTGGTGGTCTGAACCCTTTAGGTATTGATTTCGTTAATGAAACATCGATTTTTATTACCCATGTTATTTCAACTGATCGGGCGGAGCTTACGTTTTAATTTGCATAAGGACAGTCTAGATGTTTGTGATAAGAATGATTGCCGTTATAATTATATTTACTGATTTCTAATCACCTATCAGTATCACCAAACGGATATACAAAATAACTTAGTCACAGATTCAGCAACCGACAGCCACTCCAGTAAAAACCTTCACAGAGAGAAATGCAAAAGCTATGTTCCCTTGTTAGCGAGGCTACTATACGGATAATTAAAAGAGAGAAAAATGAAAAAGGCAGATTTTATTTCAAAAGAAACTAGTCACAACTAATCCCCTTGTTTTTAACTCCGTTTTGCTAGAAAATCAACGGCTGTGTCTAACTATTTACCTTGCAAATACACATGTAATGTTTATATATTTTAACCTGACCAATGACCATAACTGGACACTTCATTGATGAGTCTATCCCAAAACACGTATCTATAGATGGAATCGTCTATGATAAGTGAACCGGTTAAACTCCACCCAGTCAAGTGAAATAAATCAAGTAATACAAATACGCATATTTATGGTACGATTAGGTTATTTGAAAGGAAACCTTATACTGAACCAGATATGTGGGAATTTAGAATAAGGGTAGGGAAAGAGTAACTTTATAAAAGTATCCATTAAGCTGGAGAAGTATAAAATATGCAATCATAAAGAAATAAAGAACTATCTCTGATATAAATTTTTCAAGATAGAGAAAGAAAACAAGCAGAACATGTCGTGATTTTGAGTTAGATTATCAAGTAAAGATGCGTGTATCAAAAGTAAATAGATAACTATGAAATTTGAAATATTTGATTATATTCTGTGTAATTTTTTCGGTAATGGATTCCTTGATTCCTTTTTTTTTAACACTAGCCTGATAATTATAGATTACAGGCCACCGTATTTTACCGATGTTCAATGATTTAGTTGACCTAGTCCACTTGAAATTCCCATTTTTCCATACAGCAATTTGTTTTTTTATGATTCTAGATTATTGAAAGGTATAGCATATTCAAATTTATGTATTTCAATGCTGTTAAATGTCATCATTAAATAAACACATCTGACTAACCTTTTAATGCAGGCATATCAATCATTGACATTGCTCGAAACATTTTTCTGCAATATGTAATATTTAATTTAGATATACTGATTATTAAATGATAAAATGCAGAAAAATGCAAAACTTGTAAATAGTCTATCAAAAATCTCAATTGAAAACCAGTTTCATTCAAACCATTCGACATAATCCTGGTTTCATGGATCAATTGATAATGTCTTTGAAGGCACCATGCCGTAATAATCGATTGAATGCGTTTCAAAATAGAAAACTTAACTGTTTGCGATTGAACGTTTGCACGATTAAATTTCATACAAACTATCAAATAATTTAAGATCCTTGAATCAGTTTACTTGTTGAGACTCCTGTTATGGTTAGTTTTAATTCGATTTTTTAACAATTTAAATATATTGTTGGTTTAGGTTTTTTTTTTATTCAAACACTTTTTGTATCCTTTAAAGTTGAATCGATTGCATCATTTAGACATCAATGTTTAATCCTTGGAACCATTGATACCTTTGTTTGTCACCAAAGCTTTTAATTAGGCATGTCTGTAACATTCGCAGTGATTGATGCTGTTATATGTTTTTTGGTTGCTGTCGCAAACACTTCTGCGCCCAATCTATTTCTATTCGTGGAGCTTTAGTTTATATTATATTAATATAATTTCAAATTCCAATAATCATGATAATAGTTAATCTGCCAATGAGTGTGCATTGTATCATGTGTTGAGTGGCATATGTTTCTGTGTCTTTTCTTTTTTTGGTTAATGAGGTAAATTTACAATCATTTTATTAAGGCTTTGCCAATGTTTATATACTTTTTGCAGTTTACAGACGACACCATCCTCATTTTGAATATGCGTTTATGTGAAATGTTAACCGTTTGTTTAAGAATATAACTGCATTGATTGTATTAGTTTAAAAATCTATTTGTTTTAAAAGAAACCTACATCTTTTAGGCTCACACTTTCAGTTTTTTTCTTTTCTGTCAGTGTTTATATGCAGCTAGATATCCTTAATGTTAATTGTTTCCACTAACCAATAGTGACTACACTGTCATAGTTGTGCATGACATTTTGTTGATTGTTTGCTTATCCCTGTTATTTTCTTACCTTTTTCCAGTAGATCCCATCAGTAGTCTCGACGTTAAAGAAGGCAAGCGCAGCTCGCTTTTGATGTCTGTGATGTTCACTTTACCTTATGTTTGGGGGAAAAACAATAGTTTTATATACTAATAAAGCTATATACTACGTTTTGTAATAATAACATTTTAGATCTCTTTCATATGAGCCACATTAACAAATGTAGCAAGATACTTTCAAACATGAAGGTACTGATGAACAAACACTAAATTTTCTTTCAAATGTTTGATTTTCGTAAATAGGATGAACATTCTTTGACCTATCTATTGTTATCGCTCGCAGCTTTTACATATCTTACAGATCATTACATTCGAGTAGAATGGTATAATCTTAAGGTAAAATGACGAATGATAAACTCATTAATGGTTAACGTATATCAGCATATAGCACCGGGAATTAAAGAATTAAACATTACAACATTATGGTTGTTTTACTTTTAATGTGGTTGTTATAATTTGATTTTTAATTGTGTATTGTTAAAGTTGTATGTTCTCTTTCTATATAATTGGGCGTATCTTAAAAAAGAATAGCAATCATAAAAATTGCAGGTTTTATTACTTAAACTAAACATGACATACCGTAGTTGTCAATGTCGATTTTAAAATGAAAAATCCTTTTTCTTGGCATCACAGCGGTTGAAAAGCCTGCAAATATAAATACATAAATCCATTGTTCGCTATTTATTTTACCACACTGTAAAATAATGTGTTCAAATAAATATTTATGAGAGAAACAAAGTTGAAATTTTGACATGACCTTGACATGAAAAAAAATGAATAACTTGCACTTAGATTTTTTTATGCAATTCCTTATGTTTAAAGGGTAACTTTGTATCATGTTTTTAACATCAGAATTATGATATTTGGACTGATTTATATTCAAAAAAATATTTGCCTTTCATTATGTATTTTGATGTAAATAATGTTAATACCGTATACGTGTGATAGTTTAAATGAGATAAATTAAGACAGATTGTCGTGGAAAAGTACAGACAAGACTGCTAAAACAACACAGGCATTGCAAATTATCATCACAAAAAAAAGCACACACAATTAGAGCAAACGCTTCACAAATTCTTATTTAAACAAAATCTTTGTGAAAAAAAAACGATTATGGTATCAATTAGAGCAACGAATAGTTTCCTTAAACAATTATTCTAGTACAACCAACAAGTATTCACAGTAAAGGCACATCTAAATTAAGTTGAACTATAGAATTCAACAATGTTCATTATGAGGTTTGTGGTTAAATGCCGAAAGGTATATATTATAAGGTACGTATGTTGATGCCAAAATGTATACATTATGAGGTACTAGTTTTAATTAAGGTGTTGTTTCGATGCCGGGAAGATAAACTAAAAACTGAGTTAAAGGAAATAAACAAATATATGCTTAGTAAATAATGAATTGAATAGATAAGATTTTTTTGTGTATTACCTGTTGCACATGGTTGACATTTGTATGGCTTCAATTTAACCTGTGATCTGTACGAAAACACCTTCTTAAATTCTTCTAAAACACTTTCGTTGTATAAGACGTATTGCATGAAGTTAAAAGCTTTTTCACTTCGTGTTTTATTTCCAGAAAAACATCTTTTGGAAACATAGCCGTCATCAGATCTTGACTCTTCTATTCTCTTCAAAGTGTCGTCAATTATATCATCTTCAATTTCATCAAGTACAATTTCGTAATTGCATAATGCTCTTAATGTTGACCGGTAACAATCTGTACACAGAGTAGATAATAAACCGTAATAACATTCAAAGTTATCAGATTAATGTACAACTTTTATTGTTGAAACATCATAGCGCTGTTAGAGCCTTCCAGATAAAATTTAGATATTGTAGTGTACTCTTATTTGTATGGCGATGGACTATGATCATTTTTTATATTGCAGTATACAAACACATGAAACAAAAGTTTCATTAAATTGTATAGGTTTGGTACCATTAAAACGTTTAAACCCGCTGCATTTGTTTGCACCTGTCCTAAGTCAGGAATAAAGGCAACAGTAGTATACCGCTGTTCGAAACTCATAAATCGATAGAGATAAAAACAAATCCGGGTTACAAAGTAAAACTCAGGGAAACGCATCAAATATAAGAGGAGAACAACAACACAACAAAAACACAACATTAAAATGTAACACACAAAGAAACGAACTATAATATAACAATGGCCATTTTCCTGACTTGGTACAGGACATTTTAAGAAAGAAATGGTGGGTTGAACCTGGTTTTGTGGCATGCCAAACCTCTCGCATTTATGGGAACATCAAACACAACACCAAAACGACAACATCACATGGCAGGACCACAATACAAATAAATGGGAGAACATATAGGACAAAGAAACACACGAATAATAGCTAACAAAAGGTACTAGGCTTAAAATTCAATACGCCAGACGTGCGTCTCGTCCACACAAGACCATCCAGTGACGCTCAGATGAAAAAGCTTGAAAGCCAAAAAACAAGTACAAAGCCGAAGAGCACCGAGGACCAAATTTATTGAATTTAATTAAAGGAATCTGATGTTCAGTAGTTGTCGTTTGTTGAAGTGGTTCATAAGTGTTTCTCGTTTCTCGTTTTTATATAGATTAGACCGTTGGTTTTCCCGTTTGAATGCTTTTACAATAGTAATTTTGGGGCCCTTTATAGCTTACTGTTGGTGTGAGCCAAGGCTGCGTGTTGAAGACCGTACTTTGACCTATAATGGTTTACTTTTATAAATTTTGACTTGGATGGAGAGTTGTCTCATTGGCACTCATACCACATCTTCTTATATCTATATAGTTTTAATATAATAAGGACGAACAATTTAAAGTGCTAAATTTTCGAACAATGCATTAAATAAGAGAAAGAAACTTTTTGTATAGGAATAATCAAACTTAAATTTTTATTTTGTCCGCCATTTAATGATTATTCTTTTTATACGTATAAATTTAATGACTTCAATAAAACTCAGTACAGAATGATGTATCATGTAATGGTATAAAGGATCAAAAGTCAATTGAAAATAATCTATACCTTATTCTTCAATGCTTTCAGACACCGGAAGCAAACTGAGTATATTAACCTGTTGATAGGAAATTATGTAGTTCTGAACACTTATAAATTAGGATATCTAATAGTATTCCAAATTAAAAAAAAATCATAAAACGTTTTACATTTAGATTGTCGAGGAACTAAGTACCCTTATTTGGCATTATATCATATGCTATTTAACATACAACTTACGTATTTACATCTGGAATATTGTTTGAAACGAACCCGACTACTTACCTAGACAATAATCTCTGTGGTTGATTGCTTTTTGATTTCTTGGTTTCTTTCCTAAAATTCATCAAATATATTTTTGCATTAAACATGTTGGAGACCAGTATAGTCACATATTTTCTAACCCTCACTTATGATTCATATCAAGGCTTTGATATCACTGAATTGTCCAACTTTCCAACTATATCGAAAGCGGTAAAATTAGCGAATTGATAAAATATAGAAGGCAAATAGGGAATGTGTCAAGGAGACAACAACCCGACCACAGAGCAGAAAAACAGTCCAATACCACAAATGGGTCTTCAACGCAGCGAGAAATTCCCGCCTCCGGAGGTTTACTGATGTTTAAATTTCGTAAATCAATTAAGAAGAGACACATCAAGAACTGAGTCATTCGCATGATATCCAAAAGGAGCCAGACCGGGTGCATCGACATAGTACGCATTTTCAATATGCACACATAAATCGTCGTTCGAATTAATCCCAGTTCCGTACATATGTCACAATAGGGAATATGACACAATCGGTTTAATCACAGATCACACGCCTATGCTGGAATCTAAAGATCTATGACAGCGATAACATTTGAGTTGGGTCAACCAAAGCGTGATTTTGACAATAAAATATATGCAGTGTCTATTTCAGTCATTTTTCCTCACAACTATGTTGTTGCAACTTTTGTGTAAGGAAGAGTACACTCCTATAACGAGGTCGGCACAGTGGGAACATGTACGGGCGTAAAGTATTAGCTGTGATGTGAGGGTATGTAACTGCTGAAAAATTGGAAAGTTTCCATCAGCACGTATGTCATAGATTCTAGCTTGAAGTCATCTATTCGTAGATCAAGATGTCACGAAAACTCATTACTTTCGGTAGTATCCTTAAGGTATAGAACCACTAATGCAGGCCCGGTAGGAAAGAACATACAAGAAAGTAGCACATATTTTAGGCAAAATAGTTCCTACGCATAGCTGTATCTTTGTCAATAGGTGAAATATTTGGGTAGTTTTGGTATCAAATAAAAGATTGGGGACTTGGGATCACTGTAGAACCCTTGTTGAAAGTTTCTTTTGAATAATAAAGAAGTATATACAATTACAATAGGAGGGCACATTTGCCCTGTTGTTCACATCAAAAATACCTGTTTGTTATCCTATCAAACTTCAGGGAACCAGTACGCTCTAATATGCAATTAAAGGTATGCACAAGTCAGGATAATGTATAGATTTGACATGAAATGACTGCCACTTTATTTGAACTTAAGACAAAGTAGCCATTAATGTTTGACATTGCAGAATTTCACATAGAAAGCAATGGGGCTATAAATTAGTGGTTTTATACCTTAATACCAAGTTTAGAATATTCAGTGGGATACATTCAATGTCAACAATAAATGAAATATGGTAATTTAGTGATAGAACACCATCAATATATCTGAAAGTGAAATTAAAACAATTGGAAAGATATAAGTTACTTCTTTTTTGTTTCTGAGAATATTCTGTATGAAATCTGTTTCATATGAGTACAAGAACAGATCGTGCACAATTCGTACCCATTTCAATACCGATGTTGTACTGAAATTTTTATCCATCAAATTCAAAAATATGGCGTTGATCAAAATTTTATGCATTTTGATGATATCTTCTGTGGTGTATTTCTCGTGGAAATTAGTGTGGTTCTTTACAAAATAAGATTTTTTATAAACCAAAGCAAGGAATATTGACATTTCACAGTTTTGTAGAACAAACTCTGTTTTAGGAGACGATGTTGTAGATTTTTCAAATATGTATGGGAAATATTAATGTTAAGCGTGGAAAAATCTAAGATTTTAATAATGCTGCAATTTGGTAAAGATGGTGATTGAACATTTTTTGAGTAGATCTTAAGAATTTCATAGAATCGACATCACTAGCCGAATATACAGCATTACAATATTTCTGAAGGAAATATTCTCTGTTTAAAGAATGGTGGTAAGAACTTAATACGATATCTAATCGAAAATTTTGACGAACCGGCAATCTTTCGTTCTGACTAAGGATTTTGTAAAGTAAACGTGTCAGGTATAAAGATGGGAAATTGTCGTTGTCCTTTTTGGTCTAAAATCTCTTCTGTCGAATTTGTGAATGATGAACCTCAGGCAAAGTTGGCCTTAGATGGATTTGGCTATTTTTTTTAGGTCCTATTTGGTTCAAAGCTCTTCAATGTTTTCGGTCCTTAAACATCTCTGGATTTCAAATATTCGGTTTTGAGCGTTCCTGATTAAGGTTAATCCAGAAAAGCGTTTCCGACGCATGAAGTTTATAATCTGATGTTTTAATTTTTTTACGATGAGGTGTATGTTGGATTCTCAGTTCTGCTGACAATTTCAAATTCTCTAATGAGACTTTCCAAATATTTACTTGCATATAAAACAATAGTGTTTGAGACTGTGTGCTGGAATAACGACATATGTGTCGAGAAGAGAAGATAGAGTATCCGCAACCTCAGATAAAGTATCCAGTTGTGGTTCATCTGGCTTTCAATTTACTCATTTTGTGGCATAATTCTCGACTGCATTCATTAATTACCTGATGTTCATCTTCTAGTTGAAGTGTTGAGGGATTCGATATTTCGCGTCTTTTGACTTTCAGTTCTTTAAGCTGTTCAGTGTCAACGATGTAAAGGCCTCCGATATAATATTACCAGCGTACCTATATATATATTTATATAGGTAGGATGCACCAGATCAATCGATATATATGGATTATACTTCCTTGTTGTTTATGGTCTTTAATATCATAAACGTATTCAAACGGTGGTTGAGAGTCTTTAAATTGTTTTTTTTTTTTTTTTTTTTTTTGGCATATTTGTTTGTCTTTAAAGTGATTGAGATTGTAACACAATGTTGACTGATGTACCCCTATTTTTGACATTTTTACCTATTATGTTTGTTTGTTTTGTTCACACATTGTTGTTAATATAATGGAATTTTATGCGACTGTCATACAAGTGAGAGGGTTAGCTAGCTATAAAACGAGGTTTAATCCACCATTTTCTACATAAGAAAATGTCCGTACCAAGTCAGGAACATGACAGTTGTTATTCATTCGTTTGATGTGTTTGAGCATTTAATTTTGCCATTTACTTAGGGACTTTCCGTTTTGAATTTCCCTCGGAGTTTGATATTTTTATTATTTTACTTTAAATTATGATAGTCGATTATTTTTGTAATAAAAATGTGATCAAATTGAATTTAGTTTATCTGAAAAACAATGAATTTTAATAATTATTGGTTAACGCATTTCTAAATTCCTCATACGATATAATATCAATGTAAAATTACAGATCTATAGAATACGAAAGGTAGGTAATTATCTATTTCATGTATTTATATACATGTTACAACCCTGCAATGCAGATATCACTTACTATTCAAATTGTCTTCCAATATTATTTCTGATATTGTACTAATTTTTTTTTCTGTTTAGGCTTTTGATGTGTTATAAAAACTTTTTGTTGTAATTTTAAAATTACAATTATGACTGTTATGAACTATTTTGATCCTTATTAAGTAATTTTCATTCGATTATGAACGTGTGGTTCTTTTGTTTTTTATTTTGTTTATTGCTGAAATAAAAGTATAAAGAAAAATTGTTTTTATATTGTGACGTCATGAAACCAGAATACCTTGCCTGATGATGTCTCTTACAAAGACAACAATCTATTACCTAAACACTAAATAAACATTAAGGTTTGACAATGGAAACATGTGAATCATGAACTTTGTATCATTGAGGAGCACCCTTTGTTTGATATTGTTCCTCATAGTAAACTTTATTTTCCTGTGTGAAGGTTTGAGAACTGCAGTTTGCTATTTGAACATGGCGTATGTTTGTCGATATGGCATTTTTTTAAGATAAGGGGCGAAGTTCGAAAAAAATATTGAGTCAAAGGAAAGTCCTCAAAATGGTCAACACACATTTACATGGTTCGATAAAGTCAGTTGAATGATTCAAACGTTAAACGTTTATTAATTTGGGCTTGGAATATTGAGGATGAACACATAGAACTTATAAAGAGGATTGCTTAAATCTATTCGTCAGCTACAACTCTTAATACATTTACGGTTATGTGGAAACACACTATAATAAAAGAACTTACCATATGATGAATCAAGAAGTGCATGAATCGGGAGCTCTTCTAAACTGAAATGAAAAATGTTCTGCCCTCTAATATGATGTAGAAGCTTCTCATTTTCCTGCAGAAATTTCTCAAGGAATATCTTAAGTTTTCTGTCATCTTCTCCGTTTAAGATTGACAATATTACAACTGGTGATAAAGAAGTTAAATGGAAATAAATACATCCTTCCCATATTTCAATTACACCAGCATCTAACGCTTCCTGTATTGCGGTTGTATTTCTCACGTCTTGTATATTCAAATGATCGTGATTGTCATTATCACCGAAAAGACAAGCGACAAAATTGTTTGGGGTCATTGGACGTGTACCACCAAGTGAAATCGTCGATGATTGTTGGTCACCTAAAAAAAAGATTGACAACTGATTCATTCTTTCGATGAAACAAAGTAAATGAAATAATATAATACATGATTAAGTCTACAGAAGAAGATAAACATGACAAAATTACCAAATTACACAGTGATATTTTATTGAATATGTCTTAACACATCGTCGGGTGATTCTTATATTTGTCTTTGTCAATTTTTGATGAAATGAAGATAGAAATTTATCTTACCTTCTATAAACTTCTAGGAATAGCATTGCTTCAAAAGCGAACACGTGGGAATCATTTTTATATAACAAAAGGTCAGTTGGCGTGTTTTATTTTGAATACACGGTCAGTGGAAATGCTTCAATTGATATTCAAAAAAGGTCTTTGAGACACTAACTTTTTCACTGTAAATAATTGAAAGTTCTTTTTAAAAAAGGGGGCGAAAGATACCAGAGGGACATTCAAACTCGTAAATCGAAAATAAACTGACAACGCCATGGCTAAAAAAGAAAAAGACAAATAAACAAACAATAGTACACAAAACACAACACAGAAAACTAAAAACTAAGCAACACGAACACCAAAACACTTGGGTGATCTCAGGTGCTCCGGAAGGGTAAGCAGATCCTGCTCCACATGTGGCACCCGTCGTCTTGCTCATGTTAGTACAAACCCAGTAATAAGTATAATTCGGTATGTCACACTTGTAAAAAGGGGTTGGATTGTAGTTCCGACATTAGGAACATATCTGCTATCATCTGTGAAACGAATATTCCATAACGGTAAACCAACTCGTGATGGCGTCCGTAAAATTTACAAAGGGATGCTTTCAATTTTACCATTTTGAACTCTTGGTTTAATAGTTTCCTTGTGAGCAGCAACTCTCTGTCAAGGAAATCATGATAAGAAATACAAGCCAGGGAATATCGTATCAATTGTGAGATATATATTCCTTATGCAGGCGCTGCTGGAATGTTGCTACATAAAAATTGAAAGTTCACAATAGGGAAGCTAAAATCATCTTTTTTGTCGTCAAGTTTTGTTTTCAACCGACCCTCATTGTCAATTTTTAAATGTAAGTCTGATATGAGATATGAGGCAGACTTAACTGGATGTATCCTTCCCTAAGACAAGATACTTGTATCTACGTTGGCCATTCTTTTTTAAAAAACAAAGCAATACCAATTCTTTCAATTTGTCATTTAGTTTGGTATGGGGAATACCTGTGTAAAGTGTAGAAAAGTCAAATGTTTTAATACTATTGCAAGATGAAAGAGTCCTTGTATGTACTCTAAAAGTTCTTTGGAATTTTTTAGTATATTTGTTAAATTTTCTGAAAAAATTGTGAATCCAAAGTTTACAACTTTGGCTAAATTTCACATATCAAGATAATCGGTAGAATATTTCGTTACACAGTGTAACTAATAAAAATTGAGATCCAGGTGCAATGGTATACCTCCACACTTCCCATTGAATAATAATAGCTTATTTATCTTGCTGAACATCGGAAAATGAGAGAAAAATAGTTTATAGTGTTGTACCTCCACTATGTTTAGCATGTTAAGGTATCTTTGCCTGAATAAAATGTTAGTAATATTATGCTTAAATTGTTTGCTTGATTTTCCTTGTCAACTTACTGAAGTAATTTATACCAGTCGAGCATTGCAGAATTTTTGATATCACACAATTTAACAATCCACAGTCTACCTCCTTCAGAAACATAAGAGGATTAGAACGTGGACAAAAGTTACATATTCGTGGACCAAAATAATACATGAATGATTTTTAAGATTTATCAACATAAAAATCGATCCTTTTTTTTTTTTACTTTTAAGACTGCGTTCTAAAGTCCCACGCCCAAACCACGTCATAAAAAGGCCGTCAAATGTCAGAGCGAGCGCTCTCGGACTAGTTATCTTAGTTAACCCCTCATTCATAGAAAAGACAGATAAATGTCACTCAACATAAATTTTTGAATAAGGTTGTTTCAGATTTGTTCTAAACTATTCTGGTTCTGGTCTGTAGTCACTATAATAAACAAAGAAATATGATGTGTATTTTGATTGTTTATGGCCGATAGATTCATATTTAACCAGTACGTGCCAAAACATGATTCCTCTATCAGTGTTAATAGAGATTTTCTTAGTAGGACTAAGCCAGCATACAGAGAACAGTATTTATGAGCTAATATTATTGATTTATTGCTGACGAAATTAACCAACCACTTAATATACCTGTCTGTGTTACTAAGGGGAGTCAACCGTGTTTTGAATTCTGGATTTTTATCCATATTTGATTTTTGTTTTCAATGATAAAGAAAATAGTAAACAAAGGCAACATTAGTATACCGCTGTTTAAACATTTTGAATTTAAAACATCCTTTTTTCATATGGCATTCAATTATTAACCGAAGGCGCCATTACGTTAACTAAATTTGCGATGGCAAATCATTATATATTTTAATCTTTATAAAAAAATAAGACTAATCAAACATTTGTTTTTCAAATTTATTTGATACTGTCAAGCATTACCTAAAACCGTAAAAGATTAATCGGGTACTTTTGCTATGAATCCTCATAATACATAGTGATTAAAGTAATCATGTAGTGATTTCTACAGTTGTAATCCATGTTTGAGACGTTTTGTTAAGAAACTACTATAATAATTGTTTTACATTTGTTTGAATTAGACGTCAAGTTAACAGTAACTGGTGTTCTTTGTTAAACAATATTTCTAAATATCGTAGATTAATGTAGATAGACTACAATTGTTCTTTTCTTATATAAATGAAAAACGTATTTGTTTATATCTCAATATATTCTACCTGAAACCTGACCGGTTGTTGATATTTGTAGTAACTGTTGAAACATAGCGTCATGTCCAGTTAACCGCATCACTGTAATAAAATTTGAAATCCATGTTGTGTCTGGTCGGTTTAATAAAATCTTCATTAATTCTTCTCGCTTGCTTGACTTCGTTTCTTTATTCTGTACGAGGTCGTGTTCATTGATAGAAATTATACTACGTTCGAACAGTAAGTCTAGTGTCGAGATTACTTGTAAATTCTTGCAGATGTATTCACGATGCTGCTTTATAAATGCTTTCGTTAAACATTGGTATATTCTCCCTGTCGTGTTTGCATCAGAATTTGCATCTAGAATAATAAAGATAATGACCGACAATTGTGAAAAATGATGAAGGTTTATTTAAAAACGAACAATGAATTCACTGAAAGTAACTTGATAAAACGAACCAGCTCTGATAAATAGGTGATTGATTATTGCAGGCATTCGACCAACAAAAGGTTCAGGGCGATTGCTTAATTTTTAAAGACGGGTTGTATAACTTCAATCGACCATTCACTCTTTGCATAATTGAAATGATACATGTATGTGTTGTGTTAATTTCTATTTCATAAAAGTGTGTAATTGATATAAACATAAGATAAACCTTATCATTTGTTGGTTTTGACTGTTATGGTGAAGTTCTGTTAGTTTCATGTTTTAAAATTTTTCAAGGATTTGGAATTGTAATCTGTTGGCCTCATGACCCATGATCCCGAAACATGTGTTTGGTTATAAATTTCCTATCATACACTTTGAGAAAAGATTCGGACAGTTAGTATTCCTTCATATTTAGTCTTTCGATTAAATTCAAATATCGCCTTTAAGCACGTCCTAATTTTATTTTTATTTGATTGGTCAAGATATTAATATAATCAAAACAACTTAAACGAAACTGGTCAAGATATGGGTTATGAATCAATCGACTGTAGTTTTTTTTTTCTTCTTTTTTCTCAAAATATGTTAATACGATTAGACAGATTGAAAGAATGTTGCACATGAAAATTAGAATTAAATACACGTTGTTTGACCGTTTTAAACCGATTCCAAATATTCAAGACACGTACTTCTGGATAACTTTAATCTGGTAAAGCAACGATTGTTTCCCATGGCTTACCGCAAAAGGTTGACAAAATCTATTTAATACTGTCAACTTACCACTGTTTTCAGTTTCTGTTATAACATGTACTATTTCAGCATGTCCTGTTCGTCTTAATCCCTCCAGAAATAATGTGCATTGGTGATTTCCTTTTCTTATTAGCTTCTTCAAAAAAGCATCTATCTTCAATATACCGTTACGTTGATTCTGAATCATTTCGAACTCTGTCTGATTGAAAGCAGTGGTGTCCAATGCAATGCAATTCATTTCATCCGCTGAAATACCCGAACCTTTAAGAAAACTGAAATGCCGCTGTATTGCACCTACTAAAATATAATATTATACAAGTTGTAAAAGAAATCATTTTTAAATGGATGAGTATTTCGAACGGTCTGAACTAACTGCTCTTGTGAACGTCGAAATGTTGTAGGGAAGCGGTCCTATTACAAAACGAGCAAACCAAACAGAAAAAACAAAAATGACAAAGCGAAAAATCTTTATTAAAGTACGCGAATAATAAGCATTGTTCTCATTCTGTCTGAGAATAATCCGATGGTTCTTAACTCACGCTAGATAGGTTTTGATGAGATTCATTTTGATCAATCGTTAGTTTTAAATTAATGTTTGGTATTCGCCTTTTTATGCCATCTTTCGAGTTTGAGTTCGTAATGAACAAGATAAAAACAGACAATATTTCCGTTTTTGTTTTTAAAGTGTAAAGTTAGATATCTTGTCTTAGAGTTTTAAAGTGTAAAGTTAGATATATATTGTCTTAGTGTTAATGTTTTTAATAATCTGTACATGCATTAAATAAATACACAAAATGAAAGAAACAAACACATACAATTTGTCAACATCTTAAGATACGAACAAATAAATAGACGAAAAAACAAGTGATTTTGCTCTTTTGAAGATCCGATCATGTTGTTCATGACAATTAAAAGGTCGACGAGAAGTCTCATTCGATAATAATCATTTACATAAAAATGAGTGAATGTTGACACAATAGCCGTGACCATGTGTGACCAAGACATTCCGTAACAGTCCCTCAAGTCAGTTGAAATCTTTTATTTTTTGGACCAGGGTGGGCTTCATGTAGTTTTTGTAAAAGATCGGATAAAACGAAATCCCAATGTTGACGGGATTCACTTCTTATATATCTTGAATATATGTATTTATGTCTATTGTTCATTTTTCTAACCCATTTTCCCCATTTGCCAAACTATCGTATATTCCTGAAGGAATATTGATTGTAATTGCTGACTGCCGTCAACGATTTAGCGAATGAAAGACGTGTTGTAGGTAAAAATACTATTAACAAATTTTAAAAGGTTGTTGTTCTTCACGTATCTTATATGATTTTCTTTAGTTACACAAACATTGATCATCATAATAAACAACAACGAAAAGTGATAATAAAATTGCTTTGGTTGGTACGGTTATTAAGGATAAATATCATGAAAGTAAATTATTTGCCATTTTGTCGGCTTTCATTTTTTTGCCATGGCATTGCCAGTGTCTCTAGACTCATGAGTTTAGAATGCCCCCTGTTTCCGTTTGTTTTTATCCTTCTGATTTAACAGCCTTTCTTTCTTTAATGATATCATGCTGGTGAAGGTTGCCGCCTGTTAAAACGTTTAAACCCGCTGCATTTGTTTGCACCTGTCCTAGGTCAGGAACCTGTTGTTCAGTGGTTGTCGTTTGTTGATGTGGTTCATAAGTGTTTCTCGTATTTTATATAGATTAAACCGTTGGTTTCCCTGTTTGAATGGTTTTACACTAGTCATTTTTGGGGTCCTTTATAGCTTGCTGTTCGGTGTGAGCCAAGGCTCCGTGTTGAAGGCCGAACTTTGACCTATAATGGTTTACGTATTACAAATTGGGACTAGGATGGAGAGTTGTCTCATTGGCACTCATACCACATCTTCTTATAACAATTGATAAAAAATCTGGTGAAGACATTTTAGGAAATATAATAAAATCCTTAGGCGAAAAAACCCACGTGGCATGTAATATTTACGTGCTAAACTGTATACGATTGACGGCGTATGTTCATCACTTTGTATAGCATGAAAATGGATGACTATGGATATTTTCTAATTGTCGTACCTATTCTCCCCTCCTTTTTTGTCGATTATGACATAATCGAATAGACTTAGGACTTAGTTGGGAGCCTGCTAACATGTTTAACCCCTACACATTTTGAATGTGCCTGTTCCAGGTCAGGAGCCTGTAATTCAGTGGTTGTCATTTGCTGCTGTATATCATATTTGTATTTCGTTCATTGTTTTTTATATAAATCAGGCCGATAGTTTTCTCGTTTGAATTGTTTTACATTAATTTTGTTATTTCGAAATCTTTTATAGCTGACTATGCGGTATGGGTTTTGTTCTATGTTGAAGGCCGTACGGTGACTTATAGTTGTTAACTTCTATGTCATTTTGGTCTCTGTTAGAGAGTTGTCTCATTGGCACGAATACAACATCTTATTTCTATATCAACACCAAAGTTGTATTTGCCAAGAACAATTCATGAGGAGCAGGATCTTCTTACTGGAGCACCTGGGGTCATCATCGATTTTTGGTGGGGTTCGTATTGCTCAGTTTATAGGGTTTTTCATCTAGTGTTTTGAATATTGTTGTCTGACTTTCATTCGTTTTTCTTCATTCTTCGACTTACTAATCCTCCGCCTTGGTATCTTCTGCTTCTTTTCTAAAGGATTCCGATATCATGATGCGTTTAAATTTGAGATACACTTATTTACTCAATAACAGTGACCAAACATTGTTCAACTGATTTTAACAATTTGCCAAATATTTGAACTTATTTTTATGACCCTCACATTGTGATTGCATTATCCACCATTTCAACAACTGAAACAAAAACATCACAAGATTAATACACTAGTACAAATCGTAAATTTTACATGGCAGGGGGTCAAAATAACACGGCTGAGTAAAAACTCTTCAAACATGTTCTAACAAAATGTATTAATACCAATTTACCATATGACTCCAAGCTTTACTACTGTAGGGGCGAATACTTATACATTAAAAAAAAGTTTAAAGATCTGTTAGAATATATACAATCTAATTCTCTTTCCTCTAACATTAGTATAAAACATTTGATATGTTCACCCTTTACTCAATTTGTACCCGTTCCAAGCTAAAAGAACAGTTAAAAGATTGAACTAACTTTGTTTCATAAAAATAGCATGGACAAAGAATATACAAATGTCTTGCTTAATGGAGGAACAATTCATCCTTTGTAAAAAAAAAAGATACACTCTAAAACAGACATAAGACTTTTCATCGTTTTTTTTTTTTTTTTTACTTACATGAGCAACACGATGGATGCCACATGTGTACCCTTTCGTACCTTGAGATTACCTTCTGTTTCGGTGGTGCCTAGATCCTCTTTTGTCGACTTGCTCCTTACTTCATATCAAGTGGTATTCATATAAGAAATTTCATAGCTGACTATGCGATATAGGGCATGTATGTTGTGCTTATTGGTGAAGGCCGTACGGTGACCTATAGTTGTTAAATGTTATGTTATTTGGTCCCTGTTGGAGAGTTGTTTTATTGACAATCATACCACATTTTCCTATTTTTATATATCCTCTAACAACATATATTTAAAATGTTGGCGATGCTGAACGCATCTTTCCCATCAAACTTGAAATAAAAGGATATGTTCAGACTCCGTCACTATTTGGTTGACCGTTATGGAATATCTAATATTGTCATATATATATGAATTAACTGTATACAAAACTTTGAATTGTTCGAAATACAAAGGATTTCCATCACATTAAATGTATCTTGCAAAACCTCTCAAAGTTTTTTACCCTCACTGCTGTTCCACTTCGTACCTTGTTGGGTTCTTTAACTTTTTTGATTCAAGCATCACTAATGAGTGTTTTGTAGCGCGTCTAGACTACCAAATTATAATTCTGATATATTTGATGACTTTTTTTTACTGATGACGACAGATATGTAACCATTGTCGTTTACTGATGACGACAGATATGTAACCATTGTCGTTTACTGATGACGACAGATATGTAACCATTGTCGTTTACTGATGACGACAGATATGTAACCATTGTCGTAACCACAAAATTGTCCTATTTCCTCGATGTGACATCGCCGAATTAGACTTATCAACGAGTATTTGCAGGTGTATCGATGGTCACTCGATTATGATATTTTGACTGAGTGTACATTCGCATGCTGGTGAATGCATGCTTAACAGGAGACGCTAAACCTGTCGATGCACTATGTCAAATTTAATGCGATTCCCTCAGTTTCTGTTGATTTCCTTGATTTGTCTCTTCCTAATCGATTTCTGAGATTTGAAAATCGTCACAGTGAATTTAAAAATTAAGAAATTGCTAGGAAGCTAAGGTTCCGACAATTTCATGCAAAAACGAACTTTGCTATTTTGTTATGTCTTATTTGTTTATACAGCTTCTAACGTTTCTGCGTTTTTATATGCTTTTAGCTTTCAAATGTTTGAACTTAACTGATAAATCAAATCCAAAAGAACGCTTTGGACCTACTAAAGGGAACAATATGAACTCCAAATGAAGTATGACAGGGTTCATCTGACAATGATATGTCAAAAAACGAAAAACGACCAAAAGACAAACAACAGTAAACCAAACACAACATAGAAAACTTAAGACTGAGTAACGGGAACCTACAAAAAACGGGGTGATCTCAGGTGATCTGAAAGGGTTAGGAGATCCTTCCTTACATGTCACTCCCGTCGTGTTAATCCTATCAAATACGTTGATAGTTATATCAAGCGACTAGATGTCACGCAATAGTGGATTTGTATTTAACTCTTATTCAATCATACGACATCACAAAATTCGTTAACCATCAGTCATGTTAATTTTCTAACCCTGAAATTTAAAAGAATGGGAAATTTTGAAATTGAAACTCGTTGTTCATGAGTAATGATAGATGAGATTGTTACATTGTATAAAGAATACAAAAATTAAATACAACAAACAACGACACTTATAACAACTGTTATTATTATTATTGGATGTACACTTTTATAGTGACACTTATCCTGTCAACAGTACTCTCCGTTGCATATACAAGAGAAGAGACAAGACATGTAAACCCCATAGTATTAATACATCTTACCTTAAATACATAATATTTTTTAAATCCATTAAAATTTACATTGAACTTATTTCAGTTCTACACGACAGATTTATACAATAAATCGTTCAACAATTTAAAAAAAAATAAAACAAATTCGATATTAGATGTGCGTAGGTATATTATTTAAAGGCAACCAATAATTTCAACAAAGACATACAATATAAATTACAAAGGTGTAAGATTTCTTTTCACACGCAAAAAAGGATCGTTGAAGTTGAACTATTTTTGAATGACGAATTTCAATACTAGTTTATGTCCTGAATTTAAAAAAAAACCTAAATCATACTTCATATTTAAAAGAATTATTTACTCGTTCATCGACAAATGTTGAATAATTAGAATACACACCACCCATGTTCGTTTTAATAGTATTCTAAGCTTGAGGTATTTTATTAATATACTGAGAATAAAGTTTTTAATAAGAAATAAAGTTAATTCCGAGAACAATTGAAGATTTTTACATTTTAAAGTTTGTAGTCATTTATCATTCACTCCGTTTTCAAAGAATATTACACTTGATAAACAGTTTATCGTATGTGTCATAAGACAAATTTCATGTTATTGATTGAAAATATACTTGGTATTAATTTTTATATTAAAGGTAAGGCAAGTTCTGATTAATATAAATTCAAATTATTGTCGTACGATAGCATACTTTCTAAAATTAAGGGTGTGTACATACTTTGCTTTTAAATGACAAAGAGAATAAACAACTTCTAGTTTAAACATCATCTGCACCCTCTGTATCTTAAAAAAGCTACCTTTTACAAGTTAGTAATGATTTTGAAAAAAAGAACATGATTTAACTGTAATTGTTTTGCAAAACGTGAACAACAATAAAGTTTATTTCCTCTTGATAAAACATAAAAAATGAGAAGTTTTGATACGATAGCAAATGAGACAACTTATCACCAGAGTAAACTAACGTTGGTGTTAGCAACTTTAAGTCACCATAGTGGATTTAAACATGAGCAAGACCCAAACATTATAGTTAGCTGTAAAAGGACCTAATGTGAAAACAGTAAAACAATCCAAACAGAAATGAAACGACCATATTTTGAAATGAATCTTCAAACAAAAAACAAATATCATCCAATAAATTACAGGCTCATGAATGTGACGGGAATAAAATATCACTTAAGGGTGAAAAACATATCATGTGAAAAGAAGTTTGCATGACTACATAATGTTGAAAACAAGTTAGATCAAAATACCATGAAATTCAATATGTCATGGGTAATAGATTTTGTAACTTTTATATCACGTCACAGGATCGTAGTTTTTACAGTAACTATTAATAGTAACAGTAATTCACCAATGTTCAAATTGCATACATTAATCAATTAAGACGAAACCATGTTTGGCTTTCTCTGATGGTTAGTTTGATATTGGACATGTGTATGTAAATCGGATTAAAAAAACATAATCTAAAAGAATAATGTCACTCTCAGATAATAATACTAAATCACAGCTTGTCGGAGTTTTGTGTGATGCAGGATGTTCTTAATTTCTGTAGGATTGATTGCTTGATTGTTGTTTACTTATCGTTCAGTGGCAAGTATATCATGTTTGTGTGGGACGAGAACAAGCAAACAATTAATACAATGGATAGGAATACCAGTTTTCTAGACAGAGGTGAGCGGCGGGAATTTTGGATTTGGGTTGACATTTTCATATATTTCGGTTATGCATTGTGAAAAAAACAGTCACCTTAATGTCGTTAAAAAAAATAGTCCTTGCTCGTAAAAAGTAAAATAAAAAAAATACAGAACTCCGAGGAAAATTCAAAACGGAAAGTCCCCAATCAAATGGCAAAATCAAAAGCTTAAACACATTACATGCATTAAACGAATGGATAATAACTGTCATATTCCTGACTTGGTACAGGCATTTTATTATGTAAAAATACTTAATTCAGTATCAAATACACGTGTCAATAAAGGATTATTATGAGGACCATTTCAAACGAGACAGATTCATCATAAAACGAGAGAAGAATTACGAATTTGAAGAGCGTTCAGCTAAATCCTGCTAAGGTATTCTATTCCTGGGGTAGAAAATCCTTAATTTTTCAAACTTACCGATGTCGATTTAAAAACTTCAAAGCAACTCAGTAACTGTTGAAAACTGCACAGATGTCTGCATTCGTGATTTACGTTGTTTATCTGGCAGTCTGGTGTACTGCAAAATTATTTTTCCATGTGTCCACTCCTTTTTTATTATAGTTTCTTGCTGTTATTCTGTCGCGTTCATGTATACAACATATCTTCTCTTGTTCATGTTTATATTATCTAACTAAATAAAGAGACATCTTTTAAATCCCCGCCATGCATGTGGTTATACATGTACCTTAGTCTTTTAGAAATACACACAATTTTGCCTTCAATTTCAAGTGATTTTTAAAAGATCAAACTTAACTTACCACAGTTATACATGAGAAACAAACAATTATGCGTTTCGCAATACGTTTTAATTCCAGAGAACAAAGCTTCAACTTTGTTAAAAATAAAAAAACTTCCAGTTGGTGCACGATAACATGACGGGTTTTAAATGACTGAAAGAAGTTTTGTTTTCACACGTAAAGAACCTTTGTCATTATTTTTAATGCGGTTTCACCTAACATCCACCGGTGTTTTGAATACAAAGTTTAAAATACAAACACGCAAGCATTTCATTCGAACAGGAAAGAACTTGATATCTATTTATACCGCAGAAACATTTGACATTAAAAGATGATTTTTACATCTTATATTTCTTGTTCCTGCTTTCAGGATCTACAAATATTAATATAAAAAAGAAACTATCTTTTTACTTTTGGTATTCATAAATATTTAGTAAGTATTTCTTTAGTATAGTCTTAGTTGCATTACATTCCACACTCTAATCTATTCAACTAGGAATATACATTTCTCCCAAAGAAAACGATATGAATATCAACGACAATACATGTATGACAATAAAAGACATTACTGTCGATCGATCGAATAGCAAACAATTGTGAAACATAAACAAAACTTGGGGGAAAATGAAAGTAAGGAACTAAGATATACATTGACTTTTATCCTTAGTAATAGTAGTAGTTCTTGTAGTAGTTGTTGTAGTAGTAGAAGTAGTAGTACACTAATATATGAAAGTCCATAAGTCAAATTGTAATTTTCTTTTGATTCTCGAGAAAAAGTATCAAGTTATGATGTGGTTGTATTTGAGCATTAAGTTGGAAGGATCTCTACATGAGTACTGTCGGTTTCATTCAATCAATTCATATTAAATCCGTTTTAATTTAGACCTGATTGTAGTTTTACTTTGCAATTGATTTATTACACTATTGGTATACATTTTTTTAAAAGTAATTCTGACAGGACTTTAAAATAGTAATGCACTTATGATCCTTGTTCCGGTTAATATGATCTAACTTCAATATCAAACTGAAACTTCCTTGTACATGTTGTATCACAAGCACTTCAGTTTTAGTGAAATTATTACTACAAAACTCATCTATATTGTTCATCCTATGAATGATGGTCTGCGAGGAAAGGAAACGTCTTTCGTTGACAAACAGTGTTCATGAAATTAATATAATGCCTACATTGGTAGTTATTAGAATTATGTATCTAAAGATATGTTCTATCGTAATGCAATATCTGGTTCTAAGGTCAATTTTGAAATTGAATGAGTGGTCTGTTATCGAGCTGCCGGAGACCAATCGCATGTACCTGATTAGTATACTAGTAAATTTTGAGAGATTAATATAAAATGATGTAAAGAAACTGAATACTTTTTGGGGGGATTTTCGTTGTTGCTTATACCAATTTCGAAATCAAAGAAAAACACCAAGCCATATGACAAAATTCATATTCATTGTCTTGTAACCTACAAATCAAATGATATGGTTTTATTATGTATTGTACTTTTTTTTACATTCTAAAATTTGTATGATGTTATATTATTTCACTAATGTGTAAAACACATACTTGATAACTAAAACAAAATGTCATATCTGATTATTTTCTCAAGATAAGCAAATGCACGTCAATACTCAACTCTAATTGATAGTCAAAATATGATCGTCAAGACTACTACTTTTTTGGTTTTAAATTTCACTACGATAATAGATAATTCATGTGGCTAGACATGTGTTCATTTTACTGAATTTGATACAATGAGCTGACTATAATATCTTATTTTTGTATTCTATACATACCTAAGTGTTATCTGATGAATTTGGTTGTACAAAAACAGGTATTTCTGTTCTGAGCAACCAGTTAAATATGTCATCCCATGTCAATTTCATATATTTTGTTTATTATTTATAAGAAAGTGTCAACAAGGGTTCTACAATGAACGCAAGTGCTGCAGGTTTCACTTGACACCACAATTACACAAATATTTTACTTATGTACAAAAGAAAGAGCTACAATGGGTAATATATAAACTATTTTCGTATATTTCTTCCTGACTGCGCTCGAATTAGTGGTTTTATATCAATTTTTGAAATAGTCATATGATGAGGGGTTTATTTCTGAATTTCACATGTGCCAACGACTTTCTGTTTTTTTCGATTTATGTCCTTCTTCAGTTATCAGAAACATCAGTGTCTTTACACAAAACAAAAACTAACCGATATATGACTGTTGTGGTTCCAGAATCAATGTTTTTGTTTTATTTCTTTGAGGAAAGTCCATAATTCAGGAAATTATACGACTAACCGTATTGATAGTTAGATCTTTATATAAACGACAGCCATACGTAGCAGCATCATTATATATCACGAATTACTACTGTAGAATTTGAATGTTCACTTCTTCCAATGATTTTGGTCGTGCTGACTGACGTCGAAGATTGGAGACATCAAGTACACTTCATAGCATTAAAAGTTTTTATTAACTTCAATATTAAATATTTCTCAACGCCACAGCAAATATACGATATACTTACCTTCGGATTTACATATATGGTCGAAATGACTAAGCTTTTTTAACCTAATACACCTTTTACAAATGTTTTACTTACCACGTATTTTTTAGTTGAAGAAAAAGAGATAACACAAACATAAAACGATGGAAAAGACAAACAAAAGTCCATAAAATACTAACAAACAAAAATTAATGATTAAACCCATATGCCTTGCATTAGAGGATAAGTAGTTTCTTCCTCACAAGTGTTGTTTATTTCAAACAATAAGGATATGTGGTATAACCGCCAATGAGACAGCTATCCATTTGAATCCAAATGACATAGAGGTAAGCAACATCAGTTCGGGGTGAAGCACAAACTTGGTTAAATAAGTTCTGAGCCAAGATTTAACCAGCAATATAGTTTACCCACATTCAAACCTCTGTATGAGACTACCGTTTGTGTCTAAATATGTTTTTGAGTAAAATCTTTGATCATATCTGAATATTGATGAAACGATCTCAAATAAGACTTTTTGTGCAATTTTACATTTTATTTGAACCCTGTAAAGCGAGTATCAAAGCCACTATTCCAAACTATAAATACATATATTTGACACCCTTATGTCTTGTGGATGTCTGAAGCTTATTATATTTCTTTGATAGATTTATATTTTATTTTTATTTAATTTTTAGCTCACCTGGCCCGAAGGGCCAAGTGAGCTTTTCTCATCACTTGGCGTCCGTCGTCCGTCGTCCGGCGTCGTCCGGCGTCGTCCGGCGTCGTCCGTCGTCGTCCGTCGTCGGCGTTAACTTTTTACATTTTGAACTTCTTCTAGAGAACCACTGAATGGAATGAATCCAAGATGGCCGCCAGCGGGGGACTTAGTTTAACATAGGACCCTATGGGAAATGCATACAAATGTCTTTTTTTAGAGAACCACTGAATGGAATGAAACCAAACATGGCATGAATGTTTCTTATGAGGTGCTGACCAAGTGTTGTTACTTTGTAGCGGATCTATCATCCAAGATGGCCGCCAGAGGGGGACTTAGTTTAACATAGGACCCTATGGGAAATGCATACAAATGTCTTCTTTTAGAGAACCACTAAATTGAATGAAACCAAACATGGCATGAATGTTTCTTATGAGGTGCTGACCGAGTGTTGTTACTTTGAAGCCGATCCATAATCCAAGATGGCCGCTAGCGGGGGACTTAGTTTAACATAGGACCCTATGGGAAATACATACAAATGTCTTCTTTTAGAGAACCACTGAATGGAATGAAACCAAACATGGTATGAATGTTCCTTATGAGGTGTTGACCGAGTGTTGTTACTTTGAAGCCGATCCATAATCCAAGATTGCCGCCAGCGGGGGACTTAGTTTAACATGGGACCCTATGGGAAATACATACAAATGTCTTTTTTTAGAGAACCACTAAATGGAATAAAAGCAAACATGGCATGAATGTTCCTTATGAGGTGCTGACCAAGTGTTGTTACTATGAAGCTGATCCATAATCCAAGATGGCCGCCAGCAGGGGACTTAGTTTAATATAGAACCCTAAGGGAAATACATACAAATGTCTTCTTTTAGAGAACCACTGAATGGAATGAAACCAAACATGGCATGAATGTTCCTTATGAGGTGCTGACCGAGTGTTGTTACTTTGAAGCCGATCCATAATCCAAGATGGCCGCCTGCAGGGGACTTAGTTTAACATGGGACCCTATGAGAAATACATACAAATGTCTTCTTTTAGAGAACCACTGAATGGAATGAAACCAAACATGGCATGAATGTTCCTTATGAGGTGCTGACCGAGTGTTGTTACTTTGAAGCCGATCCATAATCCAAGATGGCTGCCAGCGGGGGACTTAGTTTAACATGGGACCCTATGGGAAATACATACAAATGTCTTCTTTTAGAGAACCACTGAATGGAATGAAACCAAACATGGCATGAATGTTTCTTATGAGGTGCTGACCGAGTGTTGTTACTTTGTAGCGGATCCATCATCCAAGATGGCCGCCAGCGGGGGACTTAATTTAACATAGGACCCTATGGGAAATGCATACAAATGTCTTCTTTTAGAGAACCACTAAAAGGAATGAAACCAAACATGGTATGAATGTTTCTTATGAGGTGCTGACCGAGTGTTGTTACTTTGAAGCCGATCCATAATCCAAGATGGCTGCCAGCGGGGGACTTAGTTTAACATAGGACCCTATGGGAAATACATACAAATATCTTCTTTTAGAGAACCACTGAATGGAATGAAACCAAACATGGTATGAATGTTCCTTATGAGGTGCCGACCGAGTGTTGTTACTTTGAAGCCGATCCGTAATCCAAGATTGCCGCCAGCGGGGGACTTAGTTTAACATGGGACCCTATGGGAAATACATACAAATGTCTTCTTTTAGAGAACCACTGAATGGAATAAAAGCAAACATGGCATGAATGTTCCTTATGAGGTGCTGACCAAGTGTTGTTACTATGAAGCTGATCCATAATCCAAGATGGCTGCCAGCAGGGGACTTAGTTTAACATAGGACCCTATGGGAAATACATACAAATATCTTCTTTTAGAGAACCACTGAATGGAATGAAACCAAACATGGCAAGAATGTTCCTTATGAGGTGCTGACCA